TCAAGATCATGTTGAGCCTATTTCAAGATAGAGAATTTCAAGTCATCTTTGAAAATGATCTCACAGAATCCATAAAAACAAGGAATGGTATTTATCAAGGAAAAACTATCTCACCACTGCTATGGCGAATATTCTATGATTCTTTATTCTGCAAGATTCAGAATAACAAAGAAAGGGAATACAAAATATCAGTCACCTGGAATCTAGATCTTAAAGGATAGACCACAAAAAGGCTAAAATCAAAACACATAGCTATAGCCTTTATGGATGATACAACATGGATAGCAAGATTTAAAAAGGATATGGAAGAAATTCTCGAAACTGCGAGAGTCTTTTGCAAAGCCAACAATTCTCAAATCAATAGTAATAAATCAGTTCTAATTACTATTAACAATTCTAATTGCTATTCAGAATAAGTTCAGGCCGGTATAGAAAAAGAAGTAGTAAAGGAGCTCAGTAGGACAGAACATACAAGATTTCTAGGAATCTGGACCAGCAATCAAAAAACTGTAGTTGAACTCAAAGAGAGGGTACTAAAAGAGATCAACATAGTGACCAGAGCTTTTAAAAGTAAGAAATTAACAGATAAACAAATCCTGTATATTCTAAACAGGGTATTAATTCCAAGGATAGAATTTGGAATGCAGCATAGTATACTATCCTGGAAAATATGCAACACTCTAATAATAGTATATAGAAAGCTCTTCAAAAACAAGAGTATCCTATATAGATCCATATCTAATAGTATAATACATTATCCAAAGATTTATAACCTAAAAAGTATCTGGATATTTTAGTGAGAAAGTCAAATAACAGGATTATGCAATAGTCTAAATGATCCTGGTCCTGCAGGAATCACAACAATTATCTGACTCAAACAAGTACAGATAAAGAATTGGAAACCACTCAACCTATTAATATGCAACTCTCTAAATCATCTACCAGATAGAGGAAACTTCATGCTCCAAGTAATGAAGTTGGCTAAAGACATAGAAATAATCTTTCACAGTTGGAAATGGCAAGAAATCTTTGAATAAAGCAAGGGAAATAGTTTAATTAAGGAACACCTTACATTAGAAGAATATAGAAAAGCTATACGATATTAACAAGGTGCCTAAAATGCCCAGAGGGTACAAAACAAGAAGGGGGATATATATTAGAGAAAGACATGAAAGATATATATGAAGTTTCATATCTCAATACAAGAAAGTCAATCAAAAGAGCTTAAGAACTAACAATTCCTTGCTCCAAGGTATTACTAGAAGAGACAATGGAAAAGGTCACTAGCATGAATCCAAACCCTCAAACCTTATCTCCAATCAATATAGTGAAAAAGTATATCAGGACTACCTAATAGAAATACTTCAACGTAACCTGGAATCCACATTTATTCTTAGTTTCCGTGAGAAGAATATGTAGTTCATGAATCTCGCCTTGCATCTGAATTGTTCGGTCTCGTGATCTTGGATTATGTCATAAACTGGCCGCTCAATGTTAAACATTATGCAAATATCTTCAATAAACAAGAAGGGATGCATCAAGGGTGGCTTTATCGCCTCAAGATCAAAAGGATTTTCTGGAACTTTTGATTCAACTTTTAGCTCTTCTATTGGCGCTTTTCCGTTTTCAACGGCATCAGGTGCGTTAATATTCCTCTTTATTTCATCAGAACTATTGCGCATGGATTGTGTTTCCATGAATTCCAATTGTTCTTCTCGCGAAAGAAAATTGCCCATCTTTATACTGTATTATTCAAATAGGGTATTATATTAATTTAATATACTACGGTATTTAGAAGCGCGGAACGAAACTTCTCAAATATATTTGCATACCAGTTTTATGCAACAATATGTAAAAAAGTTGGCGATGAGTGAGAGTTAACAGTGAGAATAAAACGTGACGTTAACGGTGTACACAGATGAAACAAAGTTTTTTTGTCGTCAAAGGTTCTCGTTCTTTAGTGCCAAATATGAAGAGAGATGGAGATTATCATAAGCAACGAACAACTCGTGAGTAGCTACAAACGCGCAGTATAGGATTTTCTTATATTACTTGGATTCACACTAATCCTTACTAAATACGGGTAGCAAATATACATAAATAGACAACAAACACTGAAGATCCTGAAGATCGAAACGTGTCGGGTAAAAATAGAAATAATCGGATTGGATTCAAGGTGGCAAACCTAACCATTTAACATTTAGTATGAGGCATATAGCGTGTGCCCAAGTTCGATTAACCAATTTTTTCTATTAACCATTCTAATCACCTTTTCAAAACAAAAATTACTTCATTTCAAATTAAAATATTATATTTTTATTAATAAAAAATTATACCAAATTTTTAAAACTTATAGAAATATAAAGTAGAGTTTTATATAAAGAGAAAATAACCATGATAGCTATTACCTATACATTATAGGAATTAAAAAATCAAATATATTTTTTACTTTAATAAATAATTTTTGTTCTTATTATTTTTGAAATGTTATTATTATTATTATTATTATTATTTTAATACTTAACGTGCCTATTTTATTGACTATATACAAATATATACTTTGTTTTACAGAAAGATTTTGTAAACTATTTTCTATATTTATAGCAAACCAATAAAATCAATTGGTAATGGACACCCACCGTCAACATTGGTGGGGCTCAATTTTCTTACCCCTTGTGGCTTGTTGTACCTGTATAGGAACTAACATGCCTAGGTATCGCTAGTGTGTTCAGTGAAGATGTTAAAGATGTTTAGAATGCCTGTGATAATTTTTTCTATGGTTTGAGATGAGATTTCTGTTAAGACTATATCCTTTTTTTTATTAACTTTGTTAACCTCAAGACAATGTTAATTTTGTCTTGTTTTTTTTTTTTTTTTTAAACCCTAGGTCAGGTTAGGTATGTGTGCTTTATTAAATGTTTATATACTGTATATTTTAAATGATTCACTAAAGCTAAGACTTTACCTAACTTACTTGTCACCATTTTGATTTAATATATCAAAACTCTAAGTGCAATTTCGAAAGTAATTTATCGCTCTGTTAATGGTTTAGGTGAATATCCTTCCAACCTTTAATATCATTGCTCGCAAATCACCACTGCAGATTACTATCTGTTGTTCTGATCCAACTTAAAACCCAACCACTTTATTTCATAAGTGACACCTTTGAGTAGAATTTTTTTCAAGCTTTCATTTTCTTGAGTTCCTTTCTCTGATAAAGGATCTTTACTTTTGAAAACTGATGGTTTTAAGCTGTATGTGCCTAAGGGTCAGTTGATTTTTTCTACTCTACAGATCCCCTGTGAATATTCCCATTCGATTATCTTCTTACATCTTTTATTCCAAATCTTTTTTCTTATTTAGTTACATACTCTTCTTTGCATCTTTGATATCCATCTTCTTGTGTTATTATCAATTCTTTTTCTATAGCATTTCAGATCTGTCATTTTTAAGATTAAGTTTCTCCTTACTAGCCCTGTACAAAAACTTAAAGTGTTCTGACTAGTTTTTGAGATCTGTTCTACCAGTTTGATGATCCATTTATCCACCTCAGCTATTTTTTCTTTATTATAAATAATCAACCTTCCATGTTTTTCTTCTGCCTCTTTTTTTCTCTCTTGTAGGAGCCCTTTGAAGTCTCCAAGGATCCCATCTTGTCCTTTATTTCATGCTTCCTATAATTGTTTTTTATATGCTGGACACTCTAATAAATGTTCAAAAGTTTCTCTTTGCTGGCTACATGCAATACATTTCACTTGTTTGTAAAGGTCAGGCCTTCTAGTTGCCAGCTTATTCAGAGTTAATAGCTCATTATTAATTAGTTTTATGAGGAAACTTTTTCACTGTGATTGTTTAAAGGAAGTGTTCCAGGTGTGTCCTTCTTTCATGCTTTCCCATACAAGGTCCCAAGTATGATCTTACTGTTCTATAATTTGGGAGTTCCATCTTTTTTCAGTTCTGTTTTGTTGTGTCTACTAGAAGGCAGTTGTTTTATCATTTACTTTTTTGATAAACTGTCTTATTGGGTCATTCAGCATCTTTTCTTGCCATTTAATTTCTGTGATGATCTTGTATGAGATCAGCTCTTTCTATTCTATTGCTGGGAGTTTCAGAGCTTCTTTGGCTAGAACATCTGCTTCTTCATTGTGGAGATCATTGAAATGTGCCTTAACCTTAATAAGCTATAGATTTATGGTCTTTTTCTTTACCAATTCTAATATTCGTGTTCACAGGAACCAGTTTTTTTCCTTTAATCATCTTTTGTGAGTTTGCTTTGGGTCTTCTCTTTCTATTGTTTTCCACTTGGAGATACAGGCCTGGCTATCTGTATGGATTTCCACATCACTACCCACTGG